GGACGCACGCATCCCCGCAGTATCCAAGCAGCACATACCGCGGCCCCTCGCGGCGCGGAGGGTGGAGACGGCCGTGGCTGCCGAGTCGGTTGGCAAACTCCGACCCGGTGCAGAGAGGATGGACGATGGACGAGGGACGCGGGGGAAGGAGGAACAGGAGGGGGAAAGAAGCAGGCAGGGGGGAAGGGACGGGAGAAGGACCACCCCAAAAGCGCGCCAGAACCGCTCACCGCGCATCCAAAACCCCCACGCCCCGCTACGGACAGCCTGGTACAGAAAATGCACACGCCAGGCAGGTCTCGGCAGCAACCACGTATTCATGCAATACTCTTCGCTAATTGATCACCAATCCCATCGTGCGAGCTCCGTCCGACAGCCTGTGGGTACACCCACCGCGGCCTCCGAAGAGGCTCCCAATTGCAACGGCTCCCGATTGACGACACGTAACACAAGAAGCACACAGCGAGAACAGGACGGAACCCAGAGCAGATCTAAACAAGCTCACCGTCCGACGGCTGGGCAACGTCGGACCGTCCGACGACCCGTTCTGACCACCCCCACCCCCACCCCCCACCCCCCGCGCACGCCGAGACCTCCCCACCCCCACCCCCAACTAAGACGAAGCCAGGACGTGGATAAATCGGGTGATGATAAATCGAGAGCCTCTCAGTTCCCACTGCTCTAGAACATGTGTCGGGCGACGCTCTGAAAGCGCTCCAGAACGCTCTGGAACGGATTTATCACATCCTCATCCCAGCCCCGTCCGGCCACCCCCGCGCCCCGCGCCGGACAGTCCCACCCGCACCGTGCAACAGGGTCGCGTCGTGTGACGACCCTGGCGCTGGCTTCTGACACCGCGTGGACCGAACAGCGGCGCCTCGATCGCCAGGTCAGGTCCTTCCGTATCGGCCGGTCCTGGGCCACCGCGCAAGGGTCGACGCCGCGTCGACACGGCACGGCCCTGCCATAACCCTCCGCGCGGTCCCACGCGCCCGCGCCCGTGAGGCCGCACCCTTCAGGAAGCCAATCCTTCGGCGAGGGCCAGGACCGGGATCGGGGAGCGCAGACGGGGAGCAGCGGGGGTCGGGAGGGTTCCGGGGGGGGGGGGGGGGGGCAACTTCCAGGCTTGGCGCCACAACCGCGCTGCCAGCTCAGCGACCTCCAGAGCATCCGCCGGCGGGCGCCGCGAAACCGTAGGCCGCGCAGTTCTTGGCCGACGGAATGGCTGAGGCAGAGGTGCCACGGTGGGATGCGGCTCCAGCGGGCGTGGCGGAAGACGAGGCAGTCAAGCCCAAGGCCCTGCCTGGCTCGAGCGGCGACAGGCAATATCTGAAGTGCCTCAACCACGAGGCACTGAAAGAACTCCTCTCCTCCTCCTCCTCCTCCTCCTCCTCCTCCTCCTCCTTCCTCCTCCCCTCCTCCTCTCCTCCTCCTCCTCCTCCTCCTCCTCCTCCTCCTCCTCCTCCTCCCCCACCACCAACAGGAAACGGACGCCTCCCACCGACCCTGAACCCGTGCTTTGCCGCAGGATCCACCTCAGGTGGGACCAAGACATATGATTCGAATGGTAGGCGCACGCTGTCACGCCGCCTGTGCCGTCGCTGTCACTGAACCGATCCCGCTGCTAGTTCAGGGGGCAGGGCGGCCGCAACCTTACCGTACCCGCTTGACGAGGCCGCGTGGGCAGCCAGGGGGGCCGCCTATGCCTGATTCCCGATCGTGAGCGAAGCCCGCAGCCGACCCTGCTGCTCGTACTCGTACTCCAAGAGTGCGTACTCGGCGAAGTCGCGACAGGAAGGCCGCCCACATTGAACAGATACTCCGTCGACTCCAGTTAATCGAGCTCTGGCCCCCTTTCCATGTCCTCAAACACCCGCTCGACGCAATCGGTTTCGGACGCCTCGCACCCGTCCCCCAGTTTTGTCTCGATGTCGATTGAGTTGGGCGACGATCGAAAAACGGATCTTACGCGAGATGACGTGGCAACCTTACGTCGAAGCTTACGCGGACCGCCGGCGCGGCACGCCACGTTGGAGACGAGGGCGCTTACGCGCGAGCTTACGCGGGCAGCTTAGCACCAATGTCGGCGCAGACGACCCCGTTGTTCCAACCATCATGTGGTGTTGTGTCCTCGTTTTGCAAAGACAACGCCCCGCGTTCTCACTCCTCCTCCTCCTCCCACTGCCCCCTCCTCCCTCCTCCCGTCCCTGCCTCTGCCCTCCACGTTCTCGTCGTTGTCGTCATCATCATCACTAAGCACTGCGTTTCGTGGCCCATAGGGAGCTCACCCTAAGATCCCAGTGGCGCAGTTCACATGCGTCTCCCCAACCCAGTTCAGCATTTCGTACCCCCAAAGGGAGCTCCACCGACGTTCCAGGGTGCAGTTTGCATGCGTTTCCCTCATCCAGTATAGCGCCTCGTGGCCCCATAGGGAGCTCCACCGATGGTCCCAATGGCGCAGTTCGCACGCCTCTACGCCACCCAGTACAGCGCTTCGTGGCCCCATAGGGAGCTCCACTGAAGGGCCCAGTGGCAATTCGCATGCGTCTCCCCCACACCATGCAGCGCTCCGTGACCCCATACGAAGCTCCACAGGTCCCAAGTGGCGCAGCTCGCACGCGTCTCCCCCGCCCAGCACATTGCTTCGTGGCCCCAGGGGGAGCTCCACCGAAGCATGCGCCCCCACCCAGCACAGCGTTTCGTGGCCCCATAGGGAGCTCCACCGATGGCCCCAGTGGCGCAGTTCGCATGTGTCCCCCCCGCCCAGTACAGCGCTTCGTGGCCCCAAAAAGAACTCCACCGAAGGTCCAAGTGGCGCAGTTCGCACGCGGCTCCCCCACCCAGTACAGCGTCTCGTGGCCCCATAGGAAGCTTCACCGAAGGTCCCAATGGCGCAGTTCGCATGCGTCTCCGCCACCTAGTACAGCGTTGCGTGGCCCCAGGGGGAGCTCCACCGATGGTCCCAGTGGCGCAGTTCGCATGCGTCTCCCCCACCCAGTACAGCGTTTCGTGGCCCCATAGGGAGCTCCACCGATGGCCCCAGTGGCGCAGTTCGCATGTGTCCCCCCCGCCCAGTACAGCGCTTCGTGGCCCCAAAAAGAACTCCACCGAAGGTCCAAGTGGCGCAGTTCGCACGCGGCTCCCCCACCCAGTACAGCGCCTCGTGGCCCCATAGGAAGCTTCACCGAAGGTCCCAATGGCGCAGTTCGCATGCGTCTCCGCCACCCAGTACAGCGTGTCGTGGCCCCAGGGGGAGCTCCACCGAAGGTCCCAGTGGCGCAGTTCGTATGCGTTTCCCCCACCCAGTATAATGCTTCCCGGCCCCATGGGGAGCTCCACCGAAGGTCCCAGTGGCGCAGTTCGCATGCGTCTCCACCACTCAGTACAGCGTTTCGTGGCCCGTAGGGAGCT